CTGACCCTGGGTAAGTCACCTAATCTCTGTTAGCCTCAGTCTCTTCATCTATAAAATAGGGGTAATTATAGCACCTATATCCCAGGGTTGTCATGAAGATTAGATGATATAATTTTAATAACTAATGATTAATTTAATTAATACATTTAATGATTAAATAAATGAGACATTTTAAAAATTCTTAGCACAGTGCCCGGTACATAGTAAGCACTTGTTTCCTTCCTTCCTGGAGTCAAAGGACCTTGGTTCGAATCTGGACTCTGCTACCTAACTTGTTGACTAGAGTAAGTCTCCTCTCTGAGATTGTTGTCTATTAAAGTTATTACCTTATTTAAAAGAAAAAAAAAGGCTACTGGAAAATCTGTTGTAATCTTAGGCTGTATTAATAGAATTATAATATTTGAGACCACAGACTATAGTCCCAGTGTATGTTGCCCACTTATCCTCCTGCCTCCTAGATAGACATTTGTAATATTGTTCTGAGTACTTGAGGTTTCAAAAAAAATCCAGTTCAACATCTTTTGGGTTTTTTTGGGGCTGGCAGTGGGGGTTGAATGACTTGCCCAGGTTCACACAGCTAGTGTCCAGTGTCTGAGGCTACATTTGAACTCAGGTCCTCCTGACTCCAGGGCTGGTGCTCTGTCTACTGCACCACTTCTACCTGCCCCTCAACAAATGTTCATCAAGTGCCTACTACATTCATGGCCCTTTGCGATGAGCTAAAGATACGTAAATTAGGTAAAACAGAGTCTGCATTCTAAAGCACTCACAAACTAAGGGAATTAGGCATGTGTTGCAGTAATTTAGGATACAAGGCGGAACACGACTATTGAATGAGAGGACTAGATAAATCACCAGAAGAAATCTGAGAAAAGAGATTTGGGGCAGCGAGGGGACTGGTGTGTGAAGGAATAATTGGGAAGGGCTTCATGGATGAGGTAGCATCCAAGGTGGACCCTGAAGAAACAGATTTTGATGGGAAGAGTTAGGGTAAGTCCATTCACACATGCATGGTAGCATAAGCAAATGGGTGGAAACAGTAAAAGGAAAGACTGAGAATGAAGCATACTGAGTAGACTAGGTTGGCTGAATATAGAATATGTGAAGGAAAAGGGGTTGTGTTGGTTAAGGTAAGTTTAGGTTGGATTGTGGAAGGTCTAGAATGCCAGAAAGAGACTTCATCAGAAATAGAACCAGAATGTGAGAAATAGACTTGATTTGATAGGCAAATTTGATTTCGGGTTTCTGAGGAGGGACAGGATAAGACAGGTGTACTAGGGAGACATTTTGACAGTGTGAGGGATGAACCGGAGAGCAGTAACTGAGGGCAAGAAGCCCTGGTAGGAGGTTATTGATTACAAAAGGTCAAGGGAGGACTGTCTTTAGTGGCTGCAGTGGTAATGGGCACATCCATTGATACTGCCAGAGTAGAATCAACAGAACCTGACAACTGATTGAAGACCCCAAAATTTTATGCCTGTCTTTCTGAAGAATGGGCATGCCATCAACAAAACTAGAAAAGTTAGGCAAAAATACAAGGTGTTTTTTTTTTGGTGGGGGTGGAGGGGAAGGAGTGATGAGTCCACCTTTGGCCATGTTGAACTTGACCTTCTATAAAGATAGACCCAGATGCCAAAGGATGCTGGAAATGCTAGGGAGGGTTGTAGCATAGCTTTAAATTTGGGAATCAAGGAAGTAATAAGAGACCAATGGAATCATAAAGGACCTGAAAATTACATTATGAGGAATACAGCTGGATGAACTGAAAACGTCTGGCCAGAAAGAAAATACATAGCAAGGCTATGACAGATGCCTTTAAATATTTGAAAGATTGCCATGTGGAAGAGGGATGTCAATTATATATTGCTTCAGGTAAGAGAATTAGGATTAATGGACAGAAGTTATGGGGTGATAGATTTTGACTCAACATAATGAACATTCAAACAATGAGCATGCCCTTCCTTGGCACTTGGCAGAGGTTGGATGACTACCTGGTAAGGGTATTGAAGAAAGGATTCTTGCACTGGGTGCATAGTTGGACCATTGGGCTTCTATGGTTTCTTCCAACTCTCCATGACTGTACTTTTCCAACTTGAGTCATTAATATCTTTCAAGGATGTTGCAATATAAACAAATAGCTTTCAAGGATGTGTGTAAAGCAGGTAAATATCTCCTTCCACTGAATCATTTAAAGTAAGGTTTGATAGAATTAGCCAATAATATGGTACTGTATCAGGCAATTAACAACAAAAGGTGAAAAAGCTAAAATTTAAAAGTATACTCTTTTCAATTTAAATGTTTTTTTCTTCTCAATTTAAAAATAACAGAAAAAGTGAAACATTCCCTTGAAACGGTTTGGTAAAGCCTTGCTATAAACTTTATATAATCTTGCTTACCATTCTAAACAAGACTCTCTAACTAAAAATGCTTTGTACTACTCAGAAATAAAGTCTGAGAGGCAATATTCAGACATAGATTACTCATCTATGAAAAGGTCAGACAAAATATATGGCCCAAGCTACTCATGTCAAATAAGACTGATTTTATGGGTTTTTTAAAATTAGTATTGTTGAAACAAAAGGTAGAAGCTGTGGTTGGGGTTACAACTGAAATGAATGCAGACTTCAGCAAACATCCATCATGTAATGGTGATGAATCGAAGTATGATTTGAGCAAGTGACCATCAGCTGGGTATCACGCTAGTCTGTTCCCCAAAATACTTTGCTGTATTGCTTTCCACCCCACCCTCCCCTTTCCCCTTTCCCCTAAGATCTGTCATCATCTTTTCCAAACAAAAATTTTACCATTGATGCTCTATTTCCTTTTGAAAAAGGAGGCTGCAACTCGAAGCTAATTGACTGTAATAAAGATTGCTTTTGACATTCATTTCCCCATTCCAAAATCTCCCCTCCTTCTGGATTTGTTTACCAGTCTTTTAGACCCATCCTCTGATCCTAAATATGAGCAGCCTCTGGTTTACACACCCAAATATACAATTCTGGCCCTAATCTGAAATCTAGCATATGAATCCTTATCCACACCATACCTCCTATATTTCTTATTAGTTTATCTTAGAAATATAGTATGATTTGCCTTTTGGAACATATTGGGGGGGGCACATTTTGGAGATAATAAAGAAGGACCTTCTTGTAAGGTCTTTTGCAACTTTTGGAAACTCAAAATTGTTTATAGTTTAAGCTAATCATCATGTCAACCATTCATCTGTTGCAATGTCAATGCAGCTGAGAAAGACTCTTGTTTAAAATGCTGTGTACTTGGGGCAGCTAGGTGGTATAGTGGATAGAGCACCAGCCCTGGAGTCAGGAGGACCTGAATTTAAATCTGATCTCAGACACAAGCTGTGTGACTCTAGGCAAGTCACTTAATCTCAACTGCCTGAAAAAAAAATGCTGTGTACTTATTAGTTCTAAAAATGCATGAAATCACTTAAGTCCAACCAAAAAAAAAGTAGTCCAAAAGATGCATGAATTTAGAAAAATATTTAAACTTTTGAGAAGCTTCAAAAGTTAAACAAGTATGAAAATTCATCTTTGTCTCAATTATAAAACCTTTGGAGTAGATCAAAACTTACCTAAGTATAATTGTGCTTCAATTTTTTTCATTTCACACTTTGCAACAGGTACTTGTTTCTAATATGTTGGCATATCTGACAGGAAAACCAATTTACCTCAGACCAAAATATCACTAGCTCAAGAAATAAAAAGTGAGACTGTCAGTCTCTGGCATGACCCACATAAACCAAACACTGAACGGAAGGAAAAGTTACCTCAAGTAGCATATAAAATATAAATGTGCCACAAGGAGATTAACCATTAAAAGTTAGCATCATACAACAGCTGCAATATATTTCATCAAAAAATGATCTGCTCTTCAGTGAACTAGCGTATATCATAAAATCAATCCCAACATTGATCCACTTCATTAGTGGGCCTTATCTTTAATTCAGTTGATAAACATGTCACTGGACTGACTTTTAGACACTCTTAGAAGAATCAGTAGAACACACTGAACCACAAAAACAAAGGAGCTAACTGGGCTGTATTAGGGCAGCTTTTGCTCTTTAGGTACTTAAAAGTTTTTAGACACATCAAAATAATTTAACTGTAGAATTGGACAGGAACTCAAAGGTCAGTCAGTATAACCTGTACCCAAACAGAAATCCCTTCTGCAAAATCCCCAAGTGGGTATCTGGATTTTGCTTGAAACCCCCCAGTGATGGGGGCATTCACCACCTCCCAAAGCACTCCATTCTAGTTCTGGATAGAAATTATTCAGAGGTTCTACTCCTCTACTCCACATTGAGCCCCAAATCTATCCCTTTGCAATTTCTACCCATTACTTCCCTATTCTGCCCACTGGGGCCACGTGGATGAAGTCTAATCCCCCTCTTTTACATGACAGCCCTTCAAATATCTGGAGAGTCTTCAGATTTCAGAGAAAGTCTTCTCTTTGATGTGACCCCTGAGTATTTTTTCTAAGCTCAACATCCTGAGCTTTGCTCACCACCCTGCTTTAACCCACCTTTGAGCATGTTATTACTTTTAGCTTGTATCTTTCTAAAAACCATGAGAAATGAGCACCAATTTAGTGCATTTCCTATTCAACAATGTCAACTTTCTAAAAATGCATTTTCTTTTGTACAGTGAGTAGGTACAAAATTTAATAAAAATTACCTAGGGAAAAACAGTGCAAAGTATTTTTTTCTTTGATTGATACTCTTCTAGACTTTGGAGCCAAGGGAGGGGAAAAAAATCTATTATAAAATAAACATGTTGAGATTTGTAGCCTTTCACAATTCTTTTATGTAATTACAGTTTTATGATTTTCTCTCTCATGTCTTTCTTATTTTTCTGTGAATATTTTATTTTATGATAGGCAGTCTGTAAAAATGAGGTGGTTCCCTCTCTCCCTCCCCCAATAGCTGATGTGCTCTAGGCAATGTTCAGTTTAACTTCTAGACAATAAAGACAGACTCCAGCTTTATTTGATTTTTTAATAAACCATAAAATTTAAATAGTCAAATAAAAAGAAACAAAAATAGATATTTAAGTCAAGCACTAATTTCTGTCTTTGTTCCACCACTGGGCAACAGAGACTTGGCTTATAAAGGATTATAGGACTAGAGAAGAGAACAACACATTTAGATTGCTGGTATAATAAACCAAAAAAAATTTTTTTTTTAAAGGGAAAAGGCTTGGTAAAACTTACTTTCAAATCTTAGAGTAAGGCTTTTTTTTTTTAAGCTCACATGAGCCCACTGTCTGAGATCTTAAATTAGTCTCATCAGTGGAGAATGACACCACCACTTTCTGCAAAGTATTTTCTCTCCTTGCTGTGGTTTAGAAATAGTCCATGCATTCTGACCCTTTTGCTCATGAAGCTCAGTCTGTCATTATGGGGTAAACCCCCAAACTGAGAAGGATAAACACATCTAATGTGAGTGATCATCTTTGGACTAACCTCTTCTTTTGTGATAAAGACAAATCAATGATGTTTTTTAGACTTTTCATCCTTTCATTTGTAAGTAACTTGGGTAATGTTATTCTTCTTCACCCTTACTCTAACATCATTTCCTCCTTAATTTACATCAGCTAATCATTATCTATTTGCCGTTTTGCTCTGGTTATTATGGCACCACTGTTTCTGCTTTTGGATCTTCACTATATCTGTTCAACAGAGTACAATTTTTTCCCTTTTCTTTGACTGATTTTGCTATTGATTAGACAGCTGCTACTGTGAAGACATGAAAGAGGAAAAAGAAAAAGGAGCAATGAGTGCTAGTGGAACTTTCAATCAACATTGATACATTTGGAAAATGGGAAATATTTCTGCTTTGTCATGGAATTTAATACCATTCCTGCTGCAATGCTAAGTTCTAGCAAACTCAGATGAGTTGACATAGTGAACCCAGCAAGGTAAGTCCACAAGAAACTGTAATGCACAAAAATGTTGAAGGAGAGTGACAGTAACCTCTGAATATAACTGGTAAAGTAAAGGGAAAGCTACTGCAAGGAAGGATATGTCATGTTTAAACTTTACAAGCTGACTGCCAGGGGACAACATTAAAAACATTATAGTCAGAGACAGGGTAAATACTAGCCTGGAAAAGAATGAGCTTTCCAGTAGGCCAAAGTATCCAATGCATCTGCTGATCATACCAAAATGTGATGGACTCAGCCTAAGGGGTTAAATAAAATAGTAATGATAAACTTTAACATTGTTGTATGGTGTTATCAACTAAAGAAAATATTTTCACATAAAGATTTAAAAACTGGCAGCAAGAAATTCTCTAACAGACAAGTTGTCCCAGCCTATCACCATGCCATTGAATGGTAACACATACAGTATAAACAGTGATCTGCTATATACAAGTCAGAAAATATTTGAAAGCGACAAAATTGTACGTGTTATTAAATGACAAAACATGTTTAGAGGTTTTATTTAAAAATCTCACTGCTGATTATCAAAGTTAAAAGATCGTTTGCATACCAATACATACTGTAAACATAGGAAATTCTTATTAAGGAAAGATGGGTTTACTGTAATCTGATCTTTTACAAAAAATTACTGCAAGTTATTGATAACAGAATTTCTTTTTTACTTTCTTAAGTCTAATTCTCTTGAAAATTAAACCAATGTTTCCACTCCCTCTATCTAAAGTTCAAAGATGGTCACATTAGGAAATACCCTTGTTTATTTGTTAATCAGAAATACAATTCAAGTGGCACATATTTCCATCTGCTTCTCAGGCTGAGTTTCAGCTTCATTATATTTTACAAGAAAACAGAAGACTTGCAGTGGTCCTGTAAAGTCTTTCATGTTGCAACTGAGGTTTAATGACGGCAGTGGAGGAAAGCAGTGGTGATGCAGAGTAAGGCCAGCCCAACTGCCCTTATCTGGCCATGGGATCTTTTTTTCCTGTCTGGCTTGCATTGCAGCAAGGAGGTTTTTCTGGTCAGGTTGCCTCCACCAAACCCGACTTAAGGAAAAGGTTGACATGCTCTGGTTGATCCAGTTTAAGGGTGATGCTCATTCTTTTTTAGGTGAATACAGGCTCTCCTTCAATCTGTTGGTTGGGGTATGATACTAATATGAAGAAAATTATCAGGGTAGCTGAGATGTTCACTTAGCCACTGCAAAGGTGTCTCCAACATTGGTTCAATTCCATGAATCATAATTTGATTCTTCTTTACCCCATCTAATTCCAAGAAAGAAATCCAACAATAAACAAAAAATTAGGACGGTCAAAATGTTTACCTATAAACACAACTGAACGCTTTCTGAAAACAGTGAATCAAATGGATTTTTACATCTTTCAACATGACGTGTCTATAGGGCAGGAAGTGTGGACGTGGAGAAAGTTGAAATGGTGTAGTGCTTATACTACTTAAAACAGAAACTTGAGGGTTAAAATGAATCCTGATTAAAAATTCTGTTATTGTATGTGAAAGTATTAGTTCTTTCTTAATTACTAGGCTCACTGAAGACTGACGTTAATGAAACCATAGAGAAGAAAATAGACCTTTATATTCATCGACCTAATTTGTGTCAGTTACACCTAAAAACACCTGCTACTATAAATATTAAAATAAGAGATATCTAGAACTAAGTGTCTGAGTCAGGGATTTTTAGCTGTTTGGGAGTTTTGACACATGATGGTTTTATGTTTTTGACGCCCACTTCTAGTTCTCCCCTGTGCACTCAGTACACTTTACCATGTGGACACGGAGAAAGTTGAAATGCAGCAGTACTTCTTACCTAAGACAGAAACTTGAAGGTTAAAATGAATTCTGATTATTAATGGGAAATATATGCATATATGTGCGTGTAGTTTGTTTTCTAAAATAAAGTTTCATTGATGCTTTTTGGTTTTGTATGCCACAGTGCTTTTCTGCTACATATATTTATCTATCTACATGTCAACACCCCTTTGAAACTATAAACTTCTTGTGGATTTCCTATTCATTTAGTAGTGCTCAAAGAAAACATATATATATATATTTCTGCTGAAATTAAGTATCACAGTTAGGTATGGATAAAAATATGGGTACAGATGATAGATAATATAATTTAAAAAATTTGGTGCCTTCTCTTAAGACAAATAATAGCTACTCAAATTTATACTGTACTTTGACAGTTTACAAAATGTTTTCTCATAACAATCCTGTCAGGTAAGTAGGTAAAACAACTGTTATCTCTATTTACAGACCAAGTGAGTGTGGCTTAAGTGATCTGTCCATGTTAACATGATTAGTAAGTGGTAGATCTAGGTCATGAACCCTGGTCTTTTGGCTCCAAATCCAACGTGCTTTCCACTATGCCAGATTAACTCGCTAGGAAACACTGCTCCAAGGCTTTGAGGCTGACCACAAAAATGGAACAGAACTCAAGAGATATCAACCCCTTAACTGGTCACCTTGATTCTTATTCCTGAATCATCTTTTCTTTTAGGATCAAAAAGACCCAGTCCCTTAGACATTCAAGAAAAGGATGTGATTGAGGGAAGGGAGAATTCACTCAACTATTTACATGAAGGAGCATGGACAATATGGACATCTCCCTTATCCTGAAAAGGCTTTGAAATCTCTTAAGAGGATCAAATGAGGTGATGGATATAAGAAGACAATTGTCCAGGAATGAAAACCATTAAAGCAGATGCATTTGGATGTCCTCTATTCTAAAGCCCCTTCCAACTTATATAACACACCCATGGGAATTGGGGGAGGGGAGCAGCAGGAGGGGGAAGGGTGTAGGTAGGAGGAGGTGATGGTGGAGGTGGGTAAATAATCAAATAAGACCTTCACATTTCCCACAACACCAAAACTGTGATGAAATGTCAATTCATAAAATTACTTCAGGAATAAAGAATTCTCTTAAAATGACAGAAGCATAAGATATTATAAACTTACAAGAGATGGGTGGTATTTGGGGGTGAACTGAGGTGAAGTAACTTCCCATGTTGAAAGAGACATGTATAGGAATAAGAAGTTCCTCATAACATTTCTAAACCATATCAGCAATGTGCTTGAGTAGAGCACGGTACAATGGAAAGAGCATTGAACTTAGATTTAGAAGACTCTGGTTTGAATCTTAGTTATTACTACTTCTGTATGATGCCGTACACAAATCACGTCCCACCTCAGGGCCTCCTTTTTCTCTTTATGATATAAGAAAGCAGGATGAGATCATCTCCAAGGGTCTTTCTAGCTCAAACAGTCTATGGGCTTATGAGATCTTAACAAGATAAAGCTATTATTTATCAAAAGACAACCTAAAGCATGCCTTTCCATTACAATAATAACTCCACAATCTAAAAAAAAAACACCAAAAGACAAAAACTCAGCAGAGAAACAGGAAGCTAATGAAAAAAGCACCTGCTCATCCAAAGTAGTTTTTAGAAAGTGCATGTTTCTCTCAAGAGAGAAGGATAGTTTGGTAAGGAGCCATCTCAAGAGACAGAAAAATCTGAAATTTACATAATTTTAAAAATCACTTTATGTTACATATGAAGCTCATTTGAGCCTCAAAACCACTCCGTGAGGTAGGCATTATGGACATTATAACCCCCATTTATAGTTGGGGAAACTAAAGTTTAAAGAGGTTAAGGAATTGGCTCATATCTATACAGAGAGGGTTAAGAGGTAGGATTCCAACCCAGTCCTTCCTGATTTCAAGTCCCACACTTCAACCACTGCACCGCAGCGCCTTTACTTAAAGGCAAACCTCCTTAGATCTTTGCTCACACTTAGATCTCATTTAACATATATTATAAATACAATTCTGTCAAATGCTGCTATCTAGTTTTCAAGTCCACAATGGATCAGAAGTAGTAACAGGGATTGGAAGAGAGATTGTAACAGGTAGACATCATAAAAAGAACAGAAATAACAGCTGGCAACTTGATGGTGAGATGAAGAAAGAGGGGAAAAAATGATAAAAAGCACAAGAGTCTGTAGTGACATTGTATAGGGGAAACTCTTAATATTGTTATTGGAACATTGTCTATATCAAAGAATAGTATGATAAATGATACTCATAATGAAAACCAACAGTCATCAAGAAAGAGTGAAGTTGTATTTGGTCTACTCTTTAACAAGGCAGGGAAGCAAATAACACATTTTAAGATCACAGGATCAGATCTAGAGCTAGAAATGGCTTCGGACACCATTTAGTCCAATGTCATCATTAAAAAAAAAATTTTTTTTTTTGAAAGAGAAGGAAACTTAGGCCCAGGGAGGGCCAATGATTTGCTTAAGGTCACAAAGATGGTAAGTAAAAGGTTTCTATCCAAATAATTTAAAATAAAAAGGTACTTTGAATATTTAAATTAGCAAATCCTTTAAGGCTCAAAATGTCTAAACAGCACAGTGGTATAGTACAAATGGAGTGAGCCTGGAAGCCCCAGATTCAAGGAGTCTAACTCCATTACTTACTAAGTGTGTTGTAATAGTCAAGTCGTTCAACCTCCACGAGCTGCTTCTTCACAAAACAATGTCTATTGAAGTAGGGGTGAAAGGGAGGAGGTGAAAGAGAAGTAAGGGTAAGACAGACAAGATGTCTGAAGCCACTTTCAGCTCTGACCTTCTACAATCCTGTGACTAATTCCAAGAGAGTTCTAGATTGCCATGGTATTACTTAAGTGAGTCTTTCTTACACTGCTTTAAAGCACTTCCACCTCAGTTCTCCTCTCGGGTTTTAAACACTCACTATACTGAATTTCTTAGAAATATTTAATATTCTCAGAATCACTCCTATCAATAACTCAGTCAAAAGGGGAAATAGTAGTGGCCTAAGAGTTCCATATCGACAAAATTTTTCTTCAAGCCAGAGTCACTTTTAAGGACTTGCTGTCTGATGTATGGTGTAGAGGGTACTATCTAAAACCTCAGAAGTCAACACTTTTTGGTTAAAGTATCCTTTAGAAAAGAAAGCAGAATATTGGTTATCATACAATCCACTCATAAGCTGTGTCTGAAAGACAAACTATTACCCCTCTGATAGGTCATTTCCATCTAGGACAGATGGCTATCACGAGCTGTGCCATCAGAGGCAATTGGAGTTCATCATCAGACTCAAGAGCAGTGTAAATCTAATAGACTGGGGGAGAAAAAAATTATTTTAGGATTAGAATTAAAAGTGAGGGAAAAATTATGAAAGATTTAGATAGAGGCCAGTTAGCACTGGCTCCCTAGTTCAGTGACTAAAAGCCAATCTTCCACAGAAAGAAACAAATAATATCAATTACTTAGTTTATATACTCAGAAAGAAGTGCTTTGCCAAAAAAATTTCTCACATCATAAAATGAACTTCAGGTCCCTGGCAATTACTAGCTTATGTTCTTTAGCTAATTGTTTTAAAATCTGTATTTTGGAAAACTATTGGTGGGGCAAGAGTCCAAGCTTGTGATATCTAATCTCTGGTCTTTGACAGAATTGAGTTATCCAATGAAAAACCTGCTAAGATGAATGTCTCCTCAGAGGGTTTCTAAACTGAGTGAATATTTTGGTTACAAAATTCAAAGGGAGGGTCAGAGGAATTAAGCACGTCATAGGACATGCCAGAAAGCACATAAGCTATTGTTTTTTAAAAATCTAAATGCCATAAACAATAACAGCGCATGACTGGTCAATTTTAGAATAATTAAAAAAAGAATTGGAAGACATTTAGTAGAGGTTTTTTTTTTTAACCATCATAGAAGAAACACTAGACGATATTATAAAACTAAGTTGGATTTTTGGTAAATGTTTCTTTGTGTTTCAAAGTGAGAATCTAGAATTTACTACTTAGGGATGAGAAAAATGTCAGTATAAAACAAATGACTCAGGATAAAAATGTTACTTCATATCTCACCCACTCAGTTTACTTTTATTTTAAAAGCCAATTTAATGTTTAAGTAGACCAATGCTTGAGATAGTAATTGAGTGAACGAGCCTGATACAAGTTTCAGCCCACTGTTCTTCATTTCAGTATGAACCTGAAACTGCTACTACCCTAATACACTTCATAACACCAAGCACAGTCATTCATAAATACTTCAGCTTTTTTAATAAGAAAAAAGAAAATGAAGGCATAGACATTTTATATTTATTAAAATAGAAAAGAAACTGAATTTATGTCGATACTTAGGCAGCAAATCATGTGAAAAGTTTGCTTAAAAAAAAAAAGGCCAGGATCTCCATGAATTATGATATTCTGGTT